TGAGTCACCCGAAGTCTGCGCTACACCCAAGGAACCGGACGCAGCTGTACCAGTAACAAATGACTCCACAAGGTCATCTTAAATGTCAAACGACCTTATATCCGCCGTGACTCTTTTAACCACGCAGTGACGCTAAAATAATGTTCATCAAATGATACAATTACAATGTATCATCATTTATTTCCGGGTCATTGAGTAACAATGTCTTCGGACGCGAGAATGTGTTAGTGTTCCATCTTCAGTCAGTCGGGCATTGGCTTAGGCTTAGATTTTTTTAATTAATTTATTTTTTTACTAGTTCGATTGTTTGGGTTTGTTTAGGTTAGGTTGTGGTGAAGTTAGATTGGTTAAGTTAGGTTGTGGTGAAGTTAGATTGGTTAAGTTAGGTTGTGGTGAAGTGAGATTGGTTAGATTAGGTTGACACTAAATAATGAACTCTGTAACTAGAGTGTTTTTATGTGTAAGGGATGATTGAAAAAAGTAATCTGGACCTCTGGCTGGGATGACCTATGCTTTTGACGTGTGTGTGTGTGTGTGTGTGTGTGTGTGTGTGTGTGTGTGTGTGTGTGTTAAATGTCAGTGGGAGACGTTTCTTCTGATAGTTCCTACCAATAGCACAGACATAGTTCCTCTCTAATAGCATTCGTCGACGTTCCACCTAATAGCACGCGCACACACACACACACCCACACTAATTCTTCATCAATACTACATGTTAAATCAACTTCCTGTAACACCGATGCAATCTGACACAATCCTTCCTAAATAAATAGCAAGATTATCATACTTATACGATCATTATTTACACATAAAGTACGAATAAATAAAGTAAATAGAAGAGAAATGTAATAAATAAATAAATAAACCCTATTAATGAAGTGTCATACCTGTACTGGGTTACCTGCGATTCACCTGTAATTAGTCGTGCTCCAAGAATATCCAAGAACCCTTCAGGTGACCCCAAGAGGTGAGAGGTCTTTGGTTGGTCTTTGTCTAGTGGTATTAGTTGACTTGTTAATGGTTAGAAAACTTGGGAAATAAGAGAAAGGGATTGTTAGTTATTCAATAGTGTGTGAGGTGTAGTGTATGAGTGTATGTGTGTGTAAGGTGTAGCTCTATTGTACACCCATGGGTACACATACTAGTATAAATGCATGTTTACTGTTATTAACACACACACACACACACACACCTACACACACAATTATACACTTACAGACACCCACACACATACACCTACACACATACACTTAGGCACACCTACGCACACACACCCACACACACATATCCCCCACACCCCCATCCACACACACACACACCCACACACACATATCCCCATCCCACACACACACACACACCACACACACATATCCCCCACACCCCCATCCACACACCCACACACACATCACCCCCACCTCCTCCACCCCCCCAATACAAAACACCATACACAACACCCACTCCATCAGCTATACCCAAGAACAAGACCTTACCACACAACACATAAAGGTCAGCTCTGTACATCCCGCTAAAGGTCACTGACACAATAATCTGTTAATTACCTGTGTTACCTGAGGGTTATGAGGTACAGTCGCCAGGTGTAACACGAGTGAATTGATTTTTAAGGAATTCAATCGTAAATATTAAAGAATTATTAAACCTGCAGATTAACCTAATCAAACCTAATTTAAACCAATGAAAACCTAACCTAAGAAAACCTAACGTAACCTAACCAAACCTAGCAAAATCTAACCTAACCTAAAAAAACTGTAACGTTAACCTAACCCCCTGAGCTTAGTTAACCTAATATTGATAAAAAAAAACTAGCGTGTGTGTGTGTGTAACTTTTTGCTATTGGGTGGAACGTCGACGACTGCTATTTGAGGAACTATACACACACACACACACACACACACACACACACACACACACACACGGAAAGAGTACGTCATCCAGTGCGACTCTACCAAACATGACACTAAATCAAGGAATATCTAATAAAATTTACAAAGGAGAGTTATACTTCCTTATTTGATATTCCTTGCATCGTCTGTTTCCCCCTATAGTAACACTGGACAATAAAGGTCATAATAGTGTAATAAGGAAGAGACAAACCGCCCGAATGTCTAGTAAGCTTAAGTGCTGACATAATAAATAAATAAATAAATAAATAAATAAATAAATAAATAAATAAAATATGGTTACAGTAGACGGAAATAAACATGTTACCATTGCTTCTATTAATATTTCACCATTATTATTATCACCATTATTATTATTTCCTGGTTTCGTTATTTATATCACTGTCATAACGGTTAATGACAAATACCGGATGGTTGTTATTATATTGTTAGGATATTGTCTCTTGTTTTACCAGCTGTCTTGTGTATTGTTGTGTGTGTGTGTGTGTGTGTGTGGTTATTTATATTTGAGTGTGTGTGTATGTATGTGTGTGTGTGTGTGTGTGTGTGTGTGTGTGTGTGTGTGTGTGTGTGTGTGTGTGTGCAAATACATACTCACACAAACACACATCCACACACTTATCTCATATCTTAACAACCATCACCTCGACCCTCTGACTAATTACATTCTTATCGTAAAAAAAATAGTATTTACCTCTCCTGATTACAGACTCCCGTAATTAGCCAACCTTCAAGGAGGTAATTTTGTCAGTTTCTATAATTAAAAAATAATTGATGACGTCACAATAATGGGATGGTGATTAGCTATATCTATCTATCCATCTTTACAATTATCTCTCTCTTTCTCTCTATCCTATTAAATTCCCCTATTCTCTACTCCCTATTCACTCAATTATTCCTTGCTTCCCTCCATTCTCTATCCCTTCCTCAATCCTTTTCTCTCTTACTAAGGCAGTGAGTAGCTTGGAGAGGAAGGTGTACTGCCCTGTTGAAGTCATTAAGCCAGGTAGATAATTGTGCTCACCTTGAAAGAGTATATGGATGGCTTAGGCATACCTGGGTGGGTGCTCTCTCTCTCTCTCTCCACATGACCATCTTTTTACATCCTCGTGTCCAATAGCTTTTACTTTCCGATATACAGGTGAGAAGGATGAAGTGCGACTGAGCCTTCCAAACGTGTATGTTGACTCACCTCAGTCACCTGTGTGTGTGTGTGTGTGTGTGTGTGTGTGTGTGTGTGTGAGGAATGTATGTATGTATGTATGTATGTATGTATGTACTAGTGTGTCTGCAGGTGTATATTTTCATGTCTATAAATAATGGCCAACTACTTACTTATCAATTACAATACCTCCATTACACCTCGCCCTTGCAAACAATAATACCTAAATTCCATTATAACGGGGCTAAGGAGACTCCAATGACGTGTTAACCAAAACAAAAAACAGCTGATGGGAAGGTCCAGCTGGGTTACGTGGACTAGGAGAGAGGGTCAGGGGTCTGCCACCTATGAAACCAGCAGTTATATCCCACAGCTGCCACCTATGAAATCAGCAGTTATATCCCACTGCCGCCACCTATGAAACTAGCAGTTATATCCCACCGCTGCCACCTATGAAACCAGCAGTTATATCCCACCGCTGCCACCTATGAAACCAGCAGTTAAATCCCACCGCTGCCACCTATGAAACCAGCCGTTATATCCCACTGCCGCCACCTATGAAACTAGCTATCATATTCCACCGGTTCCACCTCAATGAACCAGGCAGTTTACCCCTTCCACCAATTACCACCTTTATTACCACTATCGGTTACCACTTGTAGTCTGTATTACTGGTGAAGGTATTATAGAAGTGTTGTTAACACTGTCAGCTTTATATGTTCTAGTGTAATGGAGATTAGAGTTATCCTCACTGCTGTCAGTTTTAAGTTTCTGGTGTGGATATTTGATACACCACCTGGTAACATCTGTAACTAGTTGTGGAATGTCAGGTAATCCCATCTGCTAGTGACCTTATAACTCTTGTAGTTACTTTGTAGTTGTTTCACAATACTTAATGTTCACACAAACACTATCTGCCTTTTCTGTTTTACGACCCAAATTTAGCACATACTAGGGTTATCAATACTGAACTAACCAATAGAAAGCAGCCATAGTTTTACAAGAGAATAAAGGAGGTAATTTACATAGTCCTTCAACACATCTGTTGCATGTAAGATAATGGGGTTAAGTCCACTGAGGGCTGGGCACATGGTGATGACCTGTGCAAAGCAGAGGTACATGGAAGACATGGGAATGTCATCTTAGCACATGAAAAGAAAGTGATAAGCAAGGCTTAGTTTCTGTTTATCTAGTTAATTTGGGGATTGTAATTATACAATTACGTCAATACCCCACATTTATATAAGTACTTCTGTCAATATGCTAGTGAAGTTAATACAAGGGTAGGTTGGATTAATAACTATCTAAAACAGGGTTCTGGTTTAACCAGCTACCAAACAAAAACTCAATATAAGAAATCTTATTTCCTGTCTCAAGAATAAACCAAATCAGCTGAAAGAGGAGCACTTTTGGTATTTTGCAGTTCCCCACTTTTTCTCATAAATGCCCTGTTTGTGGTTCAATTGTTTATATTAGCAGGAACGCTTTACCGACTTTAAAACTTTCATTTCATACTCACTAACAAACAAAATTAAAAAGAAATTGGTAAAGACAATGATAAATTACTTCTTTAAACTTAAGTTAATGACCAGATTTGTCAATAAACTGCCAACAATAAATCGACTCATCTAATCATATTTATCAAAACCTTGTCAGCAATAAATTACGAAGCAGTGCTCGAGTGGTCACGGCTTTATTGCACCCTGTATAGTACTGGGTTTGTATTAACATGCAAAGATTATTGCATCCATCTAAAATCAGAAATGGGATTAACGAGTAAATGATTCACATTATTCAGAAATAGGTATAACTATAATGTACCTTGAGGAATACTTGTATTACTGTCTTTGTCTATAAATATGGTGGCAGAGCTAAAACTACCATAGAGGTAAACAATTAACAAGTGTTCTCTCCTTCAGGTGTTGTCAGAGATGTGGCGGTGGCGGACAGGACGGCTCCTTCAGCTGTCCTCCAGCCTCCTGCTCCTGTTTTGTCTCCTACGGGGCACCCAGGCTGCGCCCCAACATTTCAGCTTGGAAGACACCGACAGCAAAGAGACGTCTGTCTCTCGGCATTTCTCGGTGAGCGGAGTCAGCTACAGCACAAAGTCTAGAAGTGTGGAAGGCCATTCTCGATTTGGCACCTCTCATGCTGCTGCTGGCAGGGAAGTTCCTTCTGGAAGTCCCAGGGGAGGTGCCGGAAGTTACCGGATTCATCAGCACTTCGGATTGAATTCTGGTAGTGGGGCGAGAGGTGTACCTCACTTCCAAGTGCAGCCCGCAAGTCTTGAGAATGACCCCCGTAGTTTTGAGGAAAATAATCAACGCAGCATAGAACTTGTTGTTGGGAGTTCTGTGTTGTCAGGTGCTGGAAGACCATCTGGAACCCAAAGTACATCCCAGTATATTGTGTTTGGTGACGATAATGTTTCCATTGACCAGCATGACTCTCACGAAGATGATTACTACATGCCGTACAGGAGCCTGGGTAGAAGGTACCACCCAGAGGGCAGTGACCCCACCGCCCCTCAAAAACTCTTCATACCACCTCCAGCTCCTCTTGCGGTCACAACAAATGTTCCAAAACGGACATCAAGCTTAAATAGCCCATTTTTACTTTCCTTAGAAACATCCGATGAAGAGTTCGATGATGCTAAAGAACTTGATGATTTGTTCGATGGCGACGACGACGACATACACCTCTACATGGGCAAAAATATTGTGAGTGTAAAATATGACGACAGCAGCGAAGAGCGTATAGAACTCCATGATGATGTCTTAAGCAACCACTACAACTACGTCGATAATCAAGGCACCGTCCGATGGGGCTACAACCTCGAAGACCAGTATCAAAAACAAATTGTGAAAACCGATGGAACTATGGAAGGAAAATATGGATGGACAGCTCCAAGTGGTCAAGAAATTAAAGTGGAATACATCGCAGATGACGGAGGTTTTAGGGTAATTAGTTCAAAGGGTATTCATCCAGAAGATGACCAAGAGGTAAAACGGTTGAAGGATCAGCATTTCCAAGTTCAACAAAGTATTGCAAGTGGCGGAGGCGTGCCCTCTCCCGGTTCACATCAGCCTGGTACAATGACGGGCCCAACAGGAGTCCCACTCCCTGAATTTGGTACCGGCAGCTCAGCAGGTGCCCCTGGATCACCTGGTTTCTCAGCAGGAGCCCCTGGATCACCTGGTGTCTCTATGGTAGGAGTTCCTCTTCCATCACCTGGTCCAGGCGAGGGAGGCATGACAAGGGCGCCGGGGTTTCCCTTTTCAAGTGGTGATGAGTCTTTTTTAGTACCTAGTGGAGCTGGAGTTCCTCTTCCATCACCTGGTCCAGGCGAGGGAGGCATGACAAGGGCGCCGGGGTTTCCCTTTTCAAGTGGTGATGAGTCTTTTTTAGTACCTAGTGGAGCTGGAGTTCCTCTTCCATCACCTGGTCCAGGCGAGGGAGGCATGACAAGGGCGCCGGGGTTTCCCTTTTCAAGTGGTGATGAGTCTTTTTTAGTACCTAGTGGAGCTGGAGTTCCTCTTCCATCACCTGGTCCAGGCGAGGGAGGCATGACAGGGGCGCCGGGGTTTCCCTTTTCAAGTGGTGATGACGAGTCTTTTTTAGTACCTAGTGGAGCTGGAGTCCCTCTTCCATCACCTGGTCCAGGCGAGGGAGGCATGACAAGGGCGCCGGGGTTTCCCTTTTCAAGTGGTGATGAGTCTTTTTTAGTACCTAGTGGAGCTGGAGTCCCTCTTCCATCACCTGGTCCAGGCGAGGGAGGCATGACAGGGGCGCCGGGGTTTCCCTTTTCAAGTGGTGATGACGAGTCATTTTTAGTACCTAGTGGGGCTGGAGTCCCTCTTCCATCACCTGGTCCAGGCGAGGGAGGCATGACAGGGGCACCGGGGTTTCCCTTTTCAAGTGGTGATGACTCTTTAACAAGTAGTGGAGGATCATTTGTGACCACAGACACAGGCCTCGGTCCAGCTGTGGTAGGCGTCCCTCTACCAACTCCACCAAGACCTGAAACTAGTGCACCAATTGGCCCGCCTACTTCTGGTTTTTTTGGGGAAGATGAGCAAGCTGCAGTATTAGACAGAGGGGGATTTGGTGTTGCCCTTCCTAGTCCAGGAGGGCCAGGTGTGTCTTCCCCCGATAGACCTTCTATTCCAGGGTTCACTGGGGATGACGGTGGACCAACAGTAATAGGAGGTACAGTTGGTGTAGGTCTCCCTGGCATTGAAGGAGCAACCCTAGGAGCTCCAGAATCCTTTGGACCCTGCTCACTATCTGGCAAGCAACACCCATCCCTTCTGCCACCTGAGTGTCGTGAGGAAACTACAACCCCCGAGTTAGGAGAAGGAAGTCCAGGGTTCGGTATTGGTGCAGATTTCGGGTTTGGTGGTGGAGTAGGAGTACCTTTGCCTGGTCCTGGAAGTCCTGGATCCGACACTGGAGGTTTTGGGGTGGGTGGATCATTAGGTGGTCAACCAGCTTCTGGTGCAGAAGGTCCAGGGTTCGGTGCTGGTTCAGATTTCGGGTTTGGTGGTGGAGTAGGAGTACCTTTGCCTGGTTCTGGAAGTCCTGGATCCAACACTGGGGTAAAGTGCATCATTAGGTATCAACCAGCTTCGGCAGAAGGTCCAGGGTTCGGTGCTGGTTCAGATTTCGGCTTGGTGGTGGAGTAGGAGTACCTTGCCTGGTTCTGGAGCCGGGTTCCTGGATCCGACACTGGAGGTGTTGGGGTGGGTGGATCATTTGGTAGTCAACCAGCTTCTGGGTAGAAGGTCCAGGTTCGGTGCTGGTTCAGATTTCGGGTTTAGTGTGAGTATATACCTTTTGCCTGGTTCTGGAAGTCCTGATCCGACACTGGAGGTGTTGGGGTGGGTGGATCATTTGGTGGTCAACCAGCTTCTGGTGCAGAAGGTCCAGGCCTGGTGCTGGTTCAGATTTCGGATTTGTGGTGAGTAGGAGCACCTCGCCTGGTTCTGGAAGTCCTGGATCCGGGACACTGGAGGTGTTGGGGTGGGTGGATCATTAGGTGTTCAACCAGCTTCTGGGTGAAGGTCCAGGTTCGGTGCTGGTTCAGATTTCGGTTTGGTGGTGGAGTGGAGTACTCTTGCCTGGTCTCTGAGCTGGAAGTCCTGGATCCGACACTGGTGTGTTGGGGTGTGGATCATTAGGTGGTCAACCAGCTTCTGGGTGAAGGTCCAGGGTTCGGTGCTGGTTCAGATTTCCGGGCTTGGTGGTGGAGTAGGGAGTACTTTTGCCTGGTTCTGGGAGCTGGAAGTCCTGATCCGACACTGGAGGTGTTGGGGTGGGTGGATTTGGTGGTCAACCAGCTTCTGGGTAGAAGGTCCAGGGTTCGGTGCTGGTTCAGATTTCGGGTTTGGTGGTGGAGTAGGAGTACCTTGCCTGGTCCTGAAGTCCTGGATCCGACACTGGAGGTGTTGGGATGGGTGGATCATTTGTAGTCAACCAGCTTCTGGTACAGAAGTCCAGGGTCGGTGCTGGTTCAGATTTCGGGTTTGGTGGTGGAGTAGGAGTACCTTTGCCTGGTTCCCAAGTCCTGGATCCGACACTGGAGGTGTTGGGGTGGGTGGATCATTAGGTGGTCAACCAGCTTCTGGGTGCAGAAGGCCAGGTCTGGTGCTGGTGCAGATTTCGGGTTTGGTGGTGGAGTAGGAGTACCTTTGCCTGGTCCTGGAAGTCCTGGATCCGACACTGGAGGTTTTGGGGTGGGTGGATCATTAGGTGGTCAACCAGCTTCTGGTGCAGAAGGTCCAGGGTTCGGTGCTGGTTCAGATTTCGGGTTTGGTGGTGGAGTAGGAGTACCTTTGCCTGGTTCTGGAAGTCCTGGATCCAACACTGGGGGTGTTGGGGTGGGGGGATCATTAGGTGGTCAACCAGCTTCTGGTGCAGAAGGTCCAGGGTTCGGTGCTGGTTCAGATTTCGGGTTTGGTGGTGGAGTAGGAGTACCTTTGCCTGGTTCTGGAAGTCCTGGATCCGACACTGGAGGTGTTGGGGTGGGTGGATCATTTGGTGGTCAACCAGCTTCTGGTGCAGAAGGTCCAGGGTTCGGTGCTGGTTCAGATTTCGGGTTTGGTGGTGGAGTAGGAGTACCTTTGCCTGGTTCTGGAAGTCCTGGATCCGACACTGGAGGTGTTGGGGTGGGTGGATCATTTGGTAGTCAACCAGCTTCTGGTGCAGAAGGTCCAGGGTTCGGTGCTGGTTCAGATTTCGGGTTTGGTGGTGGAGTAGGAGTACCTTTGCCTGGTTCTGGAAGTCCCTGGATCCGACACTAGGTGTTAGAATTGGGTGGATCATTGGTGGTCAGCAACTTCTGGTGCAGAAAGGTCAGGGTTCGGTGCTGGTTCAGATTTCGGGTTTGGTGGTGGAGTAGGAGTACCTTTGCCTGGTTCTGGGCTGGAAGTCCTGGATCCGACTTACTGGAGGGTGTTGGGGAATTGAAGTGGATCATTTGGTGGTCAACCAACTTCTGGTGCAGAAGGTCAGGGTTCAGTGCTGGTTCGTTCAGATTTCGGGTTTGGTGGTGGAGTAGGAGTACCTTTGCCTGGTTCTGGAAGTCCTGGATCCGACACTGGAGGTGTTGGGGTGGGTGGATCATTAGGTGGTCAACCAGCTTCTGGTGCAGAAAGTCCAGGGTTCGGTGCTGGTTCAGATTTCGGGTTTGGTGGTGGAGTAGGAGTACCTTTGCCTGGTTCTGGAAGTCCTGGATCCGACACTGGAGGTGTTGGGGTGGGTGGATCATTAGGTGGTCAACCAGCTTCTGGTGCAGAAGGTCAGGGTTCGGTGCTGGTTCAGATTTCGGGTTTGGTGGTGGAGTAGGAGTACCTTTGCCTGGTTCTGGAAGCCCTGGATCCAACACTGGAGGTGTTGGGGTGGGTGGATCATTAGGTGGTCAACCAGCTTCTGGTGCAGAAAGTCCAGGGTTCGGTGCTGGTTCAGATTTCGGGTTTGGTGGTGGAGTAGGAGTACCTTTGTCTGGTTCTGGAAGTCCTGGATCCAACACTGGAGGTGTTGGGGTGGGTGGATCATTAGGTGGTCAACCAGCTTCTGGTGCAGAAAGTCCAGGGTTCGGTGCTGGTTCAGATTTCGGGTTTGGTGGTGGAGTAGGAGTACCTTTGCCTGGTTCTGGAAGCCCTGGATCCAACACTGGAGGTGTTGGGGTGGGTGGATCATTAGGTGGTCAACCAGCTTCTGGTGCAGAAAGTCCAGGGTTCGGTGCTGGTTCAGATTTCGGGTTTGGTGGTGGAGTAGGAGTACCTTTGCCTGGTTCTGAGCTGGAAGTCCTGATCCGACACTGAGGTGTTGGGGTGAGTGGATCATTTGGTGGTCAACCAGCTTCTGGTGCAGAAGGTCCAGGGTTCGGTGCTGGTTCAGATTTCGGGTTTGGTGGTGAGTAGGAGTACCTTGCCTGGTTCTGAAGTCCTGGATCCGACACTGGAGGTGTTGGGGTGGGTGGATCATTAGGTGGTCAACCAGCTTCTGGGTGCAGAAGGTCCAGGGTTCGGTGCTGGTTCAGATTTCGGGTTTGGTGGTGGAGTAGGAGTACCTTTGCCTGGTTCTGAGCTGGAAGTCCTGATCCGACACTGAGTGTTGGGGTGAGTGGATTTGGTGGTCAACCAGCTTCTGTGCAGAAGGTCCAGGGTTCGGTGCTGGTTCAGATTTCGGGTTTGGTGGTGGAGTAGGAGTACCTTGCCTGGTTCTGGAAGGTCCGGATCCGACACTGAGGTGTTGGGGTGGGTGGATCATTAGGTGGTCAACCAGCTTCCATGCAGAAGGTCCAGGGTTCGGTGCTGGTTCAGATTTCGGCTTGGTGGTGGAGTAGGAGTACCTTTGTCTGGTTCTGGAAGTCCTGGATCCGACACTGGAGGTGTTGGGGTGGGTGGATCATTTGGTAGTCAACCAGCTTCTGGTGCAGAAGGTCCAGGGTTCGGTGCTGGTTCAGATTTCGGGTTTGGTGGTGGAGTAGGAGTACCTTTGCCTGGTTCTGGAAGTCCTGGATCCGACACTGGAGGTGTTGGGGTGGGGGGATCATTAGGTAGTCAACCAGCTTCTGGTGCAGAAGGTCCAGGGTTCGGTGCTGGTTCAGATTTCGGATTTGGTGGTGGAGTAGGAGTACCTTTGTCTGGTTCTGGAAGTCCTGGATCCGACACTGGAGGTGTTGGGGTGGGTGGATCATTAGGTAGTCAACCAGCTTTTGGTGCAGAAAGTCCAGGGTTCGGTGCTGGTTCAGATTTCGGGTTTGGTGGTGGAGTAGGAGTACCTTTGCCTGGTTCTGGAGCTGGAAGTCCTGGATTTGGTATTGGAACAGAAGGTCCAGAATTTGGTGGAGGAGCCGCCAGTTCAGGAATCGGTCCTGGATCCGATTCAGGGTTTGGTGCTGGAGTCGGAGTCTCATTGCCTGGATTTGGAGGTGGAGCTAGCGGTACCGGTGGATTTGGAGATGATGTCAATACCTTGGGAACAGAATCTGGTACAGGAAGTCCAGGGATACCTTTGACTGGATTTGGAGGAACAGACCCTTTAGGGACTCATTCTGGGGTTGGAAGTCAAGGATTCGGTGATGTAGGAGTATCTTTGCCTGGATCTGGAGGAGGGGGAGTAGACCCTTTAAGGACTGACTTTGGAGGAGGGTTCACTAACGGTCCAGGAGGTTTTGGGTTTAACTTTGGAGGGCTTGGAGTAACTTCAGCGCCGGACTCGGGTTTCAGCGCTGGAGGAGCTGGAGTACCTCTTCCAGACTTTGGATCGGGGCCTGAATCTCACGCAGGTGGCTCCATAGGTCTGCAGGGGATTGGTGACAATAATGCCAGTGGTTCAGGACTTTTCAGTGAATCAGTGGGAGTATCTCTACCCAGTTTCAATGGTGGTTCTGAGTTTGGGTTTAATGCAGGTACACTAGATGCTTCAGATGTACCATTACAGGGACCCCCATTCCCAAGTGACATTTCGATAGGCCCCAACTTTGGTTCAGATTCTCCGCCGGCCTTTTCGCCAGGTAATGAAGTGGGAGGGTCTTTATCTTCAGGAGGGGGACTAAATATTAAGGGATCTACAGCTGGCGTGGGTGTCCCCTTAAATACTGAATCTGGAAAAAAGAAAGGTACGGGGCTAACTTTCATCAACCCAGCCACAAGTGTCTTTCCGTTTTTTGAGTTAGGCCCACCTGAGCTTTCCCCAGGAAAAGCTGCAGGTGGGCGTAAAACCCCATTTGATTCCCCTCACGTCACTGAAGGATCTCCATCAGTGAAACAAGGTTTTTCTAATGCTGCCAAAAATGATATTACCGTAGAGGATTCAGGATTGGTGGAGCCAGTTCACAGAGCAGAAGACTCCACTGTCACGGAGCCACAGGACTTGGAGCAAGTCTATCATGAAATATACGGCATTAAGTTGCTAGCTAACGATCCAAGAAAACAAACTCCTGCTCCTAAAAACCTAGAGCTTCCGAGGCTCTGACTTCCTCAAACCCCGACTTTTTAAGGCCTTGGCCTACTGTCGTGGGTTACGTCTGTGTACAGCAGTTGAAGACCCATGCAGTGTTCAGAGTCACAAAGGTTTGTACAAATATATAATAATGCACCTTATTGGTTGATTTGGGCTAATGCAAAAAAAAACAAAAACACAAAAACATAAAAACATAGTTAATAATCTTAAATAGATTGGTGAATGAAACACATGAAAAGTTAATGTAAATAATGTTTTCCAAAAGATCTTATACCTAACTGGTGCTCAGTGTAAACTTTACACTGTTTTTGTGTATAACTTTTTTTTTTAATTTAGTTTAATTCCATCGGTTAGGTGCATTCTTACATCTTCGGTTATGGTTACGACGAATATTTATGGTACGAGCCTTTGTGAATCCGGATCCAAATAAACAAATCAATCAAGACTATGTAAGCCCATGGCATTTATAAAATACATTATTCAAGATATCAAATTAACGCAACTGAATCATTATTTAGTTACATACCTTATGAAATGTGTCAGCAAGCTGGAAACATTCCAACTGCTGTTATCAGAATTTCTATCGAATAACTTGCGGTGGAATCTGTTCTGTAATATTGTTGAATCTAAATTGTGTGTCGACTCACTGCTGTTACTTTGTCCTGTGTATCCCAAGTGTATTGTAGCTGGTCACAGTATTTACTAAGTTACATAATGTATATAATAAGGTGTTCTATTATATATAAATATCCTAATTTACATACGATTTTTAAAACAGTTGAAACTGTGATATACAATCCCCCTCTTTATAATTCACATTGAACAGTTTATATATTTCTAAGTCACATTTTGTCAATACATGCTGTATGTTCTCTAATATTCCTTCTGTACTTCCTGTACGACAACGTTGTTCCTACATTATGTTATGATAATTGGTTTCTTTCTACATGTATGAAAATCACAAATACAGACATAAAACAAAAAAGAAGTATTTCTAACCTATTAATATTTTATTGGTGTTTATAGTCCCTTATTATTTGTGTATATAAAGTGCTCGGTGTTTAATTAGAACAACAACTCTTTCACTTGATGAGCGTCATGCAGCACAGCAAGTGAGATGAGGACTTGTTCCCAGGATGAAGAAAAACTTCTCAGAAACAAAACCAGAATTATCTGATCGGGGTTGTAACTTCAGGAAGGCGGGGATAAGGTTGTCTCTCTTAGAACACGATAATAATAACAAATAAAGGAGGCATCAGTTGATTTGCATGTCACCAAAATGAGGAAAGACGAATTCGTAATAAATCGTCATAGGGTCAGTTGCATGGAGACTACAGCTGCCTTTACTATTCATGGTGAAAGATTTAGCTCTTAATCTCCGAGAGGAACTTCTGGCCTCTGTCAAAGCAACATGGGGGGAACTTTTTGCCTCTAACAAAGCAACATTCGGGAACTCTAGTGTTATAATTTATCATAATCGCCATCATCAAAGAGTTGGTTCTTACTATACTACAACATGTTAGATACTTAGTGTTTCTGTACTATTGACAAAATTAGAATACAACTAAAATCATTGCAAAAAATTTTATTGAAACACTTAAGCCACCGATTCCTGTTACTTTTACTGTGAACACGAAAGACACTTATAAAAGTATGTTGACTCTACTTAAAGTCAAGCATTTAAGTGGTGGTCTATAGATACCTGTATATACAACCAAAAAAGTATCTATACGATTTTGAGTTAGACAATATGACACAATATAGAGTTGTTGACAAAAAATAAAAAAAACAATATTAAACTTCTATTCGTGGAGAAATTTGTGAAACCAACAGAGAAATACGGCAATGATTTCACACATGTTTCTGACAAGTTTTCGAAAATCAGTGAAGTAAAAAAATGATAGAAATGAAAGAAGATATATATGATGAGCCACAGATTTCGGGACGTGTTGATGGGTGACTATGATGAGCCACTGATTTCGGGAGGTGTTGATGGGTGACTATGATGAGCCACTGATTTCGGGAGGTGTTGATGGGTGACTATGATGAGCCACAGATTTCGGGAGGTGTTGATGGGTGACTATGATGAGCCACTGATTTCGGGAGGTGTTGATGGATGACAAATTTGAGACACTTACTTGAACCAGAGAGAAACTAACTGCCAAAATCCCATTCAATCTGATCATTCAAAATTAAGAATTCACAGTGATTAGTAAGATGCTCCGGGAGTAATTAGTAAGATGCTCCAGAAGTGATTAGTAAGATGCTCCAGAAGTGATTAGTAAGATGCTCTATAACTGTGATTAGTAAGTTGCTCTGGGACTGATTAGTAAAATGCTCCGGGACAGTGATGAGTAAGATGCTCTGAGGTAGTGATTGGTAAAATGCTCCGAAACTGAGATTAGTAAGATGCTCCGGGACTGTGATTAATAAAATGCTCCGGGACTGTGATTAGTAAGATGCTCCGGAACTAATTAGTAAGATGCTCCGGGAAAGTGATTAGTAAGAAACTCCGGGACTGTGAGTAAGATGCTCCGGAACAGGGATTAGTAAGATGGTCCAGGAGTGATTAATCAGATAATTATTATACTGAAGGTCACTATTGCTTGTTAACCATAGCTAGCCGCAAGGAAAACTGCCAGGGGCCTTTGTAGGAGTAAGAGATGTTTGGAGTGAGGGTGAGGAGTGGGGGCTTGGAGTGGGGGCTTGGAGTGAGGGTTGTTTGGAGTGAGGGTTAGGTGTGAGAGTTGTTTGGAGTGAGAGGTGTTTGGAGTGAGGGTTAGGTGTGAGAGTTGTTTGGAGTGAGAGGTGTTAGGAGTGAGGGTTAGGTGTGAGAGTTGTTTGGAGTGAGAGATTAGGGTAAGCAGAGTTGTTTGGAGGAGAGTTGTTTGGAGGAGGGGTTAATAGGTGTGAGAGTTGTTTGGAGGAGAGGTGTTAGGAGGAGGGTTAGTGTGAAAGTTGCTTGGAGTGAGGGTTAGTGATAGTTGTTTGGAGGAGGTGTTAAGAGGAGGGTTAGGTATGAGAGGTTGTTTGAGTGAGAGTTGCTTGGAGGAGGGTTAGGTGTGAGAGTTGCTTGGAGGAGGGTTAGGTGGTGAGAGAGTTGTTTGGAGTGAGAGGTGTTAGGAGTGAGGGTTAGGTGTGAGAGTTGTTTGGAGTGAGAGATTTTTGGAGTGACAGCGTTTTGGAGTGAGAGTTAGGGGTAAGAATTTGAAGTGCGAGTTACAAATTGATGTAAAAATCACCCAAAAAATTTTGATACAACAAATTAGAGTAAATCCGTGTACTTGAGTACGATGATTGAACCCCTTAATAAAGAACCCTGAGTATGAGGATTTAACCCCTGATATAGACTAACTTTATTACGATGACTTAAACTTTGATTATGACTTAACTTCTTTACAACGATGATTTAAACCATTGTAATCAGTCAAAAGATTGTCATCGTAGTAAAGGGTTAAGATATCAGCGGTTAAGTCATTGTACTCAAAGGGGTTAAATCATTGTACTCAAGGGGTTAAGTCATTATACTCAAAGGGGTTAAGTCATTGTACTCAAAGGGGTTAAGTCATTGTACTCAAGGGGTTAAGTCATTGTACTCAAAGGGGTTAAGTCATTGTACTCAAAGGGGTTAAATCATTGTACTCAAGGGATTCCGTCCTAGGTAGATTAACATAACAGCACGGTAAGTTACATTGAAACACCTATATGTGTTTCAGTATGAACCGACTGTGTGTTTAGGAAGTAAACTACAGTAGAGTGCGGTCCTCTCATACTACGTCCCGGGTTCGATAATCAGGTGGGATATGAGAGGGATGAGAGAGTGTTATCCAGTGTGAACCCGACCAAAATATCACAGGTTAGGTTAGGTTAGGTTAGGTTTGACCCCTACCAAAATATCACAGGTTTCTCTCTAGGTTACTCCAGTTTTCTCCTGTACTTAACACTGGATTATGAAGGTCGAAAGAGAGAATATACTGTACGTGCGTTAACAGTGTACAGTCCGACCTTCTAACGAGAGAGAGAGAGAGAGAGAGAGAGAGAGGTGGGTGGGTGATAACGTAACCAAAGTCATGTTAGATTTTTTAATCCATCAACAAGCAGATAACTCAGAACCAACTCATCTCTTTCGACTGGAGTTATACCCCCCCCTCCCTCCTCAGCACCCAACCCCTCCCTTCTTCTCTCTACCCTCCTCTCACACCTAACCCCCTCCTCTTCTCTACCCTCCCTCCTCTCTACACCTGGGTCCCCCCCCTTTCTCTCTACCCCCACCCTCCCCTTTCTACCCTACCCTTCCTCTCTACACCTAACCCCCCCCTTTTTCTCTACCCCCCCACCTACATAGTGAACTCAATACCATTTAAGTAGATCAAACTCCAACAGCAAGTTTTAGGGCCAGTTAGACATTTCAACAAGTTTACAAAGGTTTCTGGTCTGAGGTCAACACACGTCATGGTCATTAAAGTGTCCAAATGAGATCTGCTGTATGTTCTGGAGGTGTGAGGTTAGGTTAAGGTTAGGTTAGGTTAAGGTTAGGTTACGTTACGTTAAGGTTAGGTTTGGTTAAGGTTAGGTTAGGTTAGGTTAGGGTTAGGTTAAGGTTAGGTTTGGTTTGGTTTGGTTAGGTTAAGGTTAGGTTTGGTTAAGGTTAGGTTTGGTTAGGTTAAGGTTAGGTTTGGTTAAGATTAGGTTGGTTAGGTTAGGTTAGTTTACATCTCATAACCTTATTTAACCTTTGAACTAATAAACCCCTGATTACTGAACCTTTGAATTAATGAACCCCTGATTACTGAACCTTTGAACTAATGAACCTATAAATGAACCACTAGGTAAACGAACCTTTAGAATAATAAACCTGTCTTGATAAACTCCTGAACCGAATAAATATTTAAAGTAATAAACATCTGAACTAAGTGAAACGTCAGACCAACGAAGCAATGAACCTCTGAACCTCTGAATCAATCAACCTTTAGTAACATAATCATAAATTCCTCAAACCAGATGATATTGAG